CCTGATGTATTGTTAACAATTTATTTAATAAAGTTGATTTTATTCATTAACAGGAATGTTTGGGACTACGTCAGCGCATGAGAAGTAAATGGTTTTCGGGAACTGACATTATCTTCACCCGTGAAATAAGAAATGGATAACTGAACAGTCAATAAAAACAAGACACTGGTAATATCACTGTCCTGAAAGCAATTGCATTTAAATTAGTAATGAGGCAGAGTGTAAATGTCAAACAGCTGTATAGATGTGGGAAAAGGGCAGTGCCCTGAGGCGAAGGCCCCTTTTATTAAGTGCGTCCGAGGTGAGGCTCCTACAGAGAGTGCAGGCTGTTCGCTCAGAGGAAATAACATTTTCTGTGACCGTGACACCTTCTCAATCTAGATTGCTTTCATTAACGGCCTATCACAGAGTATCAGCCCTCTCCCTGACAAGCAGCTCTTTCCTGCAAACACTCCATTTCAGAATTACAATGCTGCCCGGTGGGAAAGAGGGGGTTTTACTGTATAACATTCAAAAATGTTCAAACACAGATCTCTTCTTTTAAGAAATTTCCAGCTACAGTAGAACCAATGATCAAAGTCTCTGGGTCCCTTTCGCTCTTACTCCTTGCATGGTTCCTTGTCTGTTCTCATTTATTGATGGTTTTTGTAGTGGCTGGGATTGTGAATGGCCATTTCTTGGACTCTGAGGTAATGTGAGGGAGACAGAAGAGGCTGTGGGCACTAGGTTTTGTCACAAACGACTCGTTTAAAGATTACAACTCCTTACAGTATGTCAGACTCCTTTCTCAGGGGCATTGTGGTCACATCCCAAACAATCTAACAACCTTATTCTCATGACTTCCTTACAAGGCGAATGTAGCTCTAAAATGCAAAATACTAGGCCTTCATACAAAGAACACCTCGAGGGTTATTACTGTGCTCAAGGCAGTGTGAAATTCATTTTCACATCATGTCATTATTCTCTCTGAACTTCATAAAGTCCTGTTAACCTGACATATACCGCCAAGATGGTTGATTACTATTGTGCCTCACTCAGTTCGTGTCTTAATCAGTGAGAGAAAACAGAATTAAAACTTCAACAAGTCAAAACAGGAGAGAAAATAAGAGCAACACAAGGCACATGGGGATATATTGCATAATCATTATCACTTCAATGGAATTCCCAGGTGCGACAACCAGTAAGGGTGTTCGGATAGACAGCGGGATAATCTCTATAATCCGGAAGCTGCAGGTTTGACTTGTCACTAGCCAATCGTAACTTGGGATTCCCAAGTGTCAGTGTGCGGCTAGTTACGGGTTAGGGGTGGAATTAGCCTGCTGTGGGCTCTCTCCATTCTCACACAAATAGGGACTTCTGTGACCTGTCGGACACCTGCAGACTCGCAGTGATGTCAGCAACTGCTGCTGCTCCAATCAGCTCTCACTCTCCTGTCCACCGGGGGAGTACCTCTGAAAGGCGGGTGCGTCGAGGAGCATGTCTCACTGTCCCGTTCTCTGCTGAGCACTACAGGAGCAGCTCCCAGCGATCTTCGAGGGAAGACCGCCTACTGCGATTCGGGTGGGCACTAAATCAAAAACAATTGGGCGATTCTAGATGAAGGCCGTCACAGGGACGTTAGCGCGGACTCACAGTTTGAGTAAGAGCGAAGACACCACCACAGAGACAGAGGACGCTGCCATAGCTGCTGACCCCATCCAGGGCTGCAACACCAAGCCTGCTGGCATGAACACACCTGCAAGACAACACGGACAGTTCTCGTGACACACACCCACAACGCCCTGCGCCGGCCTCACACGGCCGTGCAATACAGACTCGCAGCACGTACTGTACACACATCTCGCAGCACAGCGTAGAAGAGAAATTCATAGCGTTCGTGGTATAGGGCTGCGAAAAAGCCTTTACTCAGAACAGCAACAAACAGTCAGAAAAGGCAATAGTTTAGCCTAGAAGCTAAAAAGACTCCTCTGGGGAAATTAATAAGCTTCATTTCGAAATACACAATTGCGGAGCGATTCCTAAGTCTGTGGGGCCCGGAGCTAAGAAGGTTCATTTTCCTAGTAACGGTTGTTAAGTTGTTAAAACGCATGATTTCCCACCACAAAAGAAATAAAGGGGAGGGCAGATTCACACTTGAGGATTCAAATGAAGCTGTTTCCAACTGAGATGGAAATGAAAATTTTATTGTGTTGCCAATTAGATACAGAACTTTCTCTATTAACAGGTTGGAACTTAATTATTTTCTATTCATAATAGCACAAATAAATAATTTATGTTCTATCTCACTGTAATGGCGATAGAATTATTATCAGATGATCTTGATGTTGATCTTGATCATCTTAATTGACGGTTCTTATTACGAATTTCCCTTCAGTGACTTTGTGAGATTTCACTTGAACTCAAAACATGCTTTAGTATTTGATGAAAAATGCATCTTAAAACATTTCACAAAATGTATTACAGAGGACAGCTTTTCTATTGTAATAATTCACAAATTTTTGGTTTTCCATATTTTGCTATAGCTCATCTTTCATAAGTTCAATTAACTACATCCAACCAAACAGAACTGCGATCAGCCTCCTCTCTTTTTTAACCTTTTATGTAGTTACAGTGTTACAATCAATGACTGTAAACATTGGTTCTTAAAATCAGATTTTCGGTGCTCTGCTTCATCTCACTTCTCTACAGAAAGAATTCACTGTATTACAGTGTCTTAGAATCTCCAGATTAGACTTCTACCCACCTGCAGCTATAGGTATTCCCAACAAGTTGTAAATCAGTGCAAAAACAAAGTTGATTCTTATTCTTTGCACCGTTTTCTTGGATACTTCAATACTGGCCACAACATCTAATAAATCATTCTGAGGAAGAAAACAAAATATTCTTTAATGTACACACAATTATATACAGTATATATAAACGCTTGTGCAATAAAAATTCATTTAGGTGTTATCTATCCAGTTCTCAGGAACTGAAAAAATAGGAAAAGAGGAGATATTATAAAGAAGTATACAATTATCTGTAACTGACAATGCATAAAATATCCTGTTGACTATATGCAGATTTAGAGCAGATGCAAACTACAAATGTAGAAAAGTGGCACATTTTCTGCACAAGCAGTGTAAGGGCTCAGCCAAGAAGGCTGACATCTTCGTCTGATTCACTGACCTGATCAGAAGGATGTGTTGTTTTTGCTAGACTTTGGTGCACAGTACGGTACCGCCACCTGTTCATTAATCAACCGTGATGATGGCTTTGTTGCCCCAGAAAAGGCTGTTTCTGGGACCCAGCCAGAGAATCTAAAATATGGCATGTCCCCTCGTGACATTGGACCGCACACTTGTAGTGAGTTTTTTTGGTTGCAGTTCCAGGTCCAAATCAAGCCTGGTTTCTACAGTGAGGTGAAACGGGAACTCGGGGACACTGGGACGCGAACTGGACCTGGGACCCAGCCCCGCGAGCCGCGGCTGCCCCTCGCGCAGCCCAGTGAGACGGGGGGGGCGATAGCTCACCCGGATCAGAACCACGTCGGCGGCCTCGATGGCAACGTCGGTGCCGGTGCCGATGGCGATGCCCACGTCGGCCCTGGCCAGGGCGGGGGAGTCGTTCACCCCATCGCCCACCATGGCCACCTTCCAGCCGCGCTCCTGCAGCTCCCGCACCTTGGCTACCTTGTGGGACGGCAGCACCTCGGCAAACACCTTCCGGATGCCCACCTGCGATCCGGACCGTCGCCGTTACCGACCAGAACACAGCACAGCGGCCAGCTTCAGCGCCGCTCCTCGGTGGTCAACACAAGCGCAAGCTACCCGTGACTGGGACCCACGAGACACGCACGTTCACGTGACTTAATGAAATCCAACCGAGTGTAATTAAGTTGACACCGGTGAACCTGCCCAGCAAGGTGGGATTTTAACGAAATGCTTTAACAGTAGCTTGCTCTCAAGTACTCTTGCACGCTAGCTGGCTCTGCACTGGTGAAGGAGCATTTCAAGCGAGTTCCGGTCCTGTGTGTGAGAAGGCAGTGGTTATGGGAGCTTCCTTTTAAGACAGAATCTAAAACAGGGGGGACCACAGTCCAGAGAACCAACAGAACCAACAGAACCAACGGAACCAACGCATTGCATTGTGGGGGAAAAAACAGGACTAGTGTTGGTAATGTTCATGGCAATCAGGAACAGCATATATAATATATAGAATTATATAGCACCCAAGCTTTGGGTGACTTGAGATGTGTCTCTTAGATCTCAGATACAGTTTGTGACACTGGGAAGAGTAAATACTTCTAACTTCAAAGGAGAGAGGATGCTTGCTGAGCTCTGGGGGATCCCTGTGAGCAGAAACAATAGTTACGTTTATCTTGGTATGCCTAGGCAGGCTGTGGATTGATGATTGCAAAGGAGCAGGGCAGAAAGACACAGTATAAGTTCACATTAAGAGAAGCAGGAGAGAGAAAAGAGGAGAGGCAGGAGGAAGAAGCAAGGGGAAGCTGGGAGAAGAGAGAGGAGTCCAGAGGAGTTGGAACCTGAAGCTTGCGCCAGGCAAGGGCTCCTACTTCATGATCATCCAAACCAAACCTGACTGGAGCTGAGTATTTGAACCTTGTTGGAGAGAGCATGCTATTCTGTGTTTTTAGGGACCTTGGGTTCCTGGTACTTCACTTAGAAACGTCTTTCCTGATTAGGGTGCATTTTATGGACAGGGATATAGGCTCCCATTTATTTTGTGGCCTTTAGGGTGCAGAGAGAGAGATTCAGTCAATTCCTGATTTTCACCAGTTTCGTAGCCCCCCAATTTGCAACAATATAATATAGCGTATATAATAATATTGTGTATTAGCCATGTCAAGAAGTTCCTTGTTTTCAAATGAGAAATTCTAATTCTAATCAGGAAATTAGCCATCAGAGCAGAAATATCTGGAGGCAGCCTGTTGTTTTGGTCTTTCGGGGCTGGTGGCTGTGTGCCCCAGTGTCCGGCGGCCGGCGGCCCACCTGCGTGGCGATGGCTCTGGCGGTTTTCCGGTTGTCCCCGGTGATCATGACCACTTCGATGCCCATGCTGTCCAGGACGTGCACGGCCAGGGCCGACTCCGTCTTCACCGTGTCCGCGACGGCAATCATGGCGCACAGCACGCCTGCAGCGAGAGAAGTCGCGGCCAGGGAGCAATTAGCCTCCGCTGGCGAATCCTGCTTGCTGTGCGAAGCCATAAAAAACAACAACTTTGTGCCAAAACTGCAACTGAAGCTTCCCAAGAACCTGCACATCCTTCCAAAGCCGGGGACCAAAGCAGACATGAAACAGGGTCTGTGCTCTCCTATGTCTGGAAGAATACCTGTGCTTCTTTCATCCACGTTATACATTTCTCAGGCATTAGTGTACAATCAACATTTCTAACCTTCTGACATGGTGTCATCTCTTTTGTGCAGGAGGAACGTTAAAATGAGCCCCCAAAACGCATACGATGCAACAAAGTTAGTACAGCTCTCAGCAGAAGACAGCGTGATGCGCCGTTAAAACAAAATCCCACTCTGAACAGGGTAAGATTTCTGATTTATAACCGATCATTTTTTTTTTCTTGGTCATTCACACAAGAACCTTGACTCAGATAAAGTGCGCTTCTCATGGCAGCTGGTGTCCACTGTTTAGTGAAAAGCAGGGATCGGCTTCCTGAACAGAAAGCCTCCGGCCGGTATACCGTTAATGGCCACCAGAATGGCCGTCTGCCCTTTAACCTCATGGCTGCACATGGCGTCATCCACGTCTCTCCGGACAAGCAGCCCGTTGCGTCTCATCCACTCTCGATTCCCGATCAGCACAGAGTAGGTGGGACAGGGGGGCGGACCTGGAAAGACACCGTGAGCTGATCAGTGCACAGCGCCGCACGCCGCCAGAGAAGAGCGCACAACTGCAAACGCTCCTGAGCTGTGAGCCCTGCTACTGTAAGTGGTTTGCTCTTTCAGGAATCTCCAGATATTGCAATTTGCCTCTCATCAGGAACAGATGCTGTATTAGAGCTGCTAAATTTAAATTAAACAAAAGGCAACACAATCTATGGTGGGCGGTGGGCTATTTCACTGTGGTTCATTTGAGTTATTTTGATAAAGGCGCTTCCATAATCTTCTCTCTTTCTAAAGATAAACACCAGGATTGGGCCCAACACCTCAGGTCATGACTCCAGTGTTGTGTGCCAGGGTGTGGCAGGAGAAGAGTGAAGATGCGGACTCCACAGACCTGCAGTGTCAGTGTCGATGACCAGGAGGCTCTCGTCAGTGGGGGCTCCTTCACTGTGGGTAAGCTGGGTGTTCTTGGTGTTCTTGTTCCCCTGGTGTGTCTGCAGGAGGGCCTCAATGTTGGTGACTTTGCAGCTGATCCCACATCCTGGTACGGCCTGGAAATCTGTGCAATATCCCAGCGCGTCCGTCTCCAGCTCCTGAAACAAGGCCGAACAGAGGCTGTTCATTCTGGGAGCCCTTCCTCTCCATCTCAGGGGACGAGAACAGATTGTCACAGTCATGCCACAGGGCAGTGGTTCGCAAGCCTGCTCATGGAAAGCCAAGTTATCATCTGGTTTTCATCCAAGCTGAGCTCTGAATAACATCAATGGAAGAATTACTTTCTTGACTGGCTGAATTTAATGCAACTAAATTAAACTAAATGCAACATTAGGACCCACACAGACTGCAGGGTGAGAGCCCCCTACTGGTCCCACTAACACCTCTTCCAGCAACAACCTTAGCTTTCCCAGTCTGTACTCATTGACTATATGAAGCTCCCTACAACTCCTGCAGGACTTTGTCTTTCCAGCACCAGGGTGAGAGACCACTGTCACAGGGTGAGTGCTCTCCTATGTTGGGAGGAATTCCTGTGCATCTTTAATGAAATATTTAAATATGAAATATTTCTCATGCATTACTGCACAATCGATATATCTATAACTTTCTCTCTGACACAGCTCAGATGAGATTATTATTAAGGCTTTCTTTTGACAGATGTTGATGCAAATGATGCCGCTGTAGAACTATAATGACTACGTGCATCGCCACCTTGAACATATTATTTCTTAGCGGCATGCAGAGGCATGTGGGCTTTCAAGCAATGCCTTCTGGGAGAGGCTGGTACTACTTTATTACAATGTTTTGCATTAAGATTATAGGCAATCTAAAGCAATAACTTTTAAAGCTGCCTCACGAGTCTCATAAATTCAAGTTTATACTATTATATACTAATTCTCAGTGTTCCATGTCAGTGGATCTGGTTCCTCTAAGGCAGGCAATGAAAGGCACCAGTGCTTCATTTTACTGACTACTGAAAACAATCGCTCACAAACATTCCTGAAGTAAATACAACAACTAGCAAGAAAAAGAATGCAACAGCTCTTCCTGAGTACTTGGAAACTACCTATGCAAGACTGTTCCTGCTCTCCAGCTTGTCACAAAACACTTCCCTCTTTCACCTTTTAAAGCCTTTTTGTGTATACGCTTTAACCAACTTTACCTTAACACATTTTACCTTGAGACAAAATCTCTTGCTTGGCTTGAGCAACAGTACATTTCCATTATTCATTTCAGAGTGAACAACTAATGATCAGAGCCTCCAGATGAGAAATATTATTTTTTTCTTAAATGCATGATAGTTTTCGACTGCGACCTCTCATTATGCACCCAGGTGACTGTGGTCTGTTGTGCTTTTGTTACCAGTGTTATTCCACATCTCCAGGGAGATCTGGGACACCCTGAGGACACCTTCACCAGTTTCTTAATGAAGGGTCAAGAGACTAATCCTTCTGTTTACCTGTACTGCAGAGAGAGTGAGGGATGTCTAATAAGGCAGCTAGGAGATGAGTGCATGTATATCCCTCATGCAAGGGCTGTTTGAATTTGCAGGTGCTGATGGTGGAGGCCTGAACCAGTCCTGGGGGGTCCTTCAGTGACCGAAGGCGGCTGTGCACTTGCCTCTTTGCAGTACTTGGCGACGGCGACGCCCAGCGGGTGCTCACTGCTGGCCTCCGCTGTGCCCACCACTGCCAACACCTTCCTGAGGGGCAGCAGCCGCCCGCTGTCCGGTAGGATCAACACACGCATCACCCGTGGCACGCCGTTCGTGATTGTGCCCGTCTTATCAAACATCACCGCCTTGATCTGAACAGGCAGGGAGAGGGGCACAGAGCAGAGACTCAGGACCCTTGAGATATCCAAGATTACAGACTCCTCACCAGTCTGCCTCTGTACTGCTGCAAGACCTCCGGAGAGCATGGTTTTAAATTATAACACGAACATTATATTTCATTCCTGTAGCATATTAGATATTTATTGTAAATGATATTTATACTATATATTAGATGTGTATTGTATGTTTATAACATGAACACGTAGTGCTTATTTTCCACCCTGGGCAAAGTGCCCCCTCCAAAGCAACTCTAAAGAGTTAGAGAAGCACTTTGAAGTTTTTTTCTTTTTCCCCTATAAAAGAGGAAGTTTCCAGTCGTGGGGCCACTACAGCCGTTGGCTCGATTGTCCGACGGCTCACACAGAAACGCAAGAGGCAGGACAAGACAGCGCTTTGCGCTTGCTCTGAAGGCGCCGCCTCCACGGTGTGTCGTGGGGGGAGGAGGAAGAGGAGCAGGAGGCGGGCGCAGACTCTACCTTGTGGGCCATCTCCAGGGGCTCCCCTCCTTTGATGAGGATGCCGTTCTGCGCCCCCACCCCGGTGCCCACCATGACGGCGGTGGGGGTGGCCAGGCCCAGGGAGCAGGGGCAGGCGATGGCCAGGACCGTGATGGAGGCCTGGAAGGCGAAGCGCACCACGACATCGACGCGGGGGGTGTCCCTGTCGTAGCCCTGCCGACAGCAACGCCCAGCGTCAGCCCTGCGCCCATCACTGGGCTCCCGGAGCAGCCAGGATAAATCACAACACGGCTGTCGCTCAGCTCCGCAGAAAGCAAAGCGGTAAGCAGATGCATGTTAACTTCCTCACTGCAACTCTCTGTTTCACCTTAAATCAAATTTCCTACATATTTAGGGTTAAAAAAGCTGTTATAATTTGCATTTCAAATTCATGAAGTAGCTAAAGAGACATTAGGCATTTCCACAACAGACACAGACACACATTTTTAACAGAGAGGTTAGAGAAGAGTTTATGGAGATAACAAAAAGATGCACCAAGTCTTCTAAGATTGTGACATTTCTTTTTACACTGATTTAGTTGCTCATGAACAAAACAGCCTCATGAACCTAATATTTCCAATTGTACTAGGTTTTAAAATTTAATAAACTGTGTGATACTTACGGGAAAAAAATCAGCTACTATACTGAAGTTCAAGAAACCAATGATGAGCCAGACCACTAACGTCAGAACAGAGATGATGACAATGAAAGGCACAAAATACCCGCTCAACTTGTCTGCAAACTGCTGTATAGGTGCCTGTTAAAAAACAAAAAGTCACACTTCTGTTAAAGGAATTGATTCAACTGTTATGACTATACCTTTTCAAGTTTCAGGGGTAGATAAACCAAAACATTTCTGCCTTCAATCAGGATTATAGCTGTAGTCCTCATGGCTTAATTTAGGTATTGTGAAACAAGATTTACGCTCACTTCAAAGGTCTTAAATTAGCAGGATGGAGGATTCAACCTAACTACACAATTGTACTGACTATGTCCCCAGCTGCAGCCTGCCCCAAAATTTAGTGAAGTTGTAATACGAAACAACACTCAAACTTTGTTTATACTACTATTCCAAATGCGGTTTTAATATTATCAGGATGGTAGCGTTAGGTTAAATAGGATTAAATTATGGGGAAGTTTAACCCTAACCATAGCTTCGGTTCTTAAAAAAACAATCTACCTGCATGGTTTTTGATGTATTAATGTTATAATTAAGAAACGTTTGAACAATTTCTATCACTTTCAGAGTTAGTTTTGGAAATGATGACAAAAGAGCACAGAAAATAAGTTTAGAAATAGTGGCTGATTAAGGTTAGGATGAGTAAATCATAAAACTTTCACTTCGGTCAGGGATATGGTTGTTTTACTCATGGCTTACCCAAGTGTGGTATAAGATTTCATCTTAGGTTCATCTTAAATGTTTTATAGCTATTAATCTATAAAAGCACTCTAACCAACATGAGCCTTCCAGCTGAGTAAACCCGATTAATTCTTCTTGACGGCTCATGAAACGACCAGCTTCCCCAGGTGTGTTGGGAAGCTGCTCCCTGCATTCTAAAAATGTTCTTAAAAATTCGGAGAAATGAATTTATAGTTGTAATTAGAACCTATGAGCGCTCTCTAGTGCTTTAGGGAGGTATATTACTGTTTTCTAAATGCTGCTTGCTAAACATAAAATACATTATGTGTGACTTTTATATCGCTATACTAAATTATACATTTCTGTAACATCTTTAATAGTATTAACCTGTAAAAGCTTTACAATCATTCCTGCAAACACACTAATGTTCTTAGAAACTAATTCTGGTTTTGGTTTCACTGACACCATGAATACAGAGGACCATTAAGCAGGTAGATTTTGTTGCTAATTACCTAGAACCTCTCGTTTTGTGGTAATATTTATGAGGGTGGGGCTCATTAACGCTGCTTTTCCCATCTAAATCAATAAGTGGAACGAATGTTCACTAAAGGCCTTCGGAATGCCACGAAAATTTTTAAAACATAATTAGCCAGTTTTTCAAAAACCTTAATGTGCAATGATTTTTCTTCTTGTCCACACAGGCCTTTAACCATTTGACATGAACCACGTTAGCAGGGAAGGCGTTCGGACGGCTTTCTGTTGGTATCTACAGTACCTTGGATGTCTGGGCTTCCTCCACTAGTTTCACGATCTGGGATAAGGTGGTGTCGGCCCCGACGTGCGTGGCCTGGACAAGCAGAGAGCCGTGGGCGTTGATGGAGCCAGCGATCACCGTGCTGCCTGGCTTCTTGGTGACGGGCATAGGCTCCCCTGTGGGGAAACACACACACTGCAGCCCCGCTTCCTCACTAGACAACAAGGCCATAAAGACATCTTCATTTTAAAAAAAACAACCCCATTTGATTAAAAGCTGCCTCCCTGCGCTTGCAGCTTGAGACCCTGGTGTTATCTCACACAAAGGTCAAGGCATCCAATCAGAAGGAACGAGCTGAAGCAGGAGCAGGAGAGAG